GATTGATTGATTGATTGATTGATTGATTGATTGATTGATTGATTGATTGATTGATTGATTGATTGATTGGTTGATTGATTGGTCTGTTGGGTTGACAGATTCTTAGTTGGGACTTGGATTTGATTGTTGAACTTAGTGAATATCTGCCTCCAACTTGCTGATAAGATGTTGAGCGTCCTTCATTTATTCAGATGATTCAGTGATTTGCTGACTTGATGTTTCATTATTTAGTCTTGTAGTTCATTCTTTCCACTTTGTTCTCCTTCCAGATCAACAACAGTCACATCTTGGTGGTGATCCACATCAGCACGGCCAGCCAGACCATCAAAGTGTCCATCGATGACACACCGACACAGGTAGACACACGCTTCCTGTTAGACTGCTGTACCTATCCATGCACTGTTTACTGACTATTTCCCTTCCTGTTTAGGTGTTGGCGAGCTTTTTTGCCAAGACAACAAATAAAAGAGTTTTGCTGGGCATCCCTGAACACATGTGTGAGACTGACTTTGTGCTGCGTGTGTGTGGCAGGTATGGACCAATGCTAAATGCTGAAACTCGCCTGCAATGTCACAAAATAACGGACTGGATCAAGTTGTAGAGGATGGCTTTAATCAGAAATGCATTAAAAAATGTGATTTTACATTTATAAGTAACCATTTGGTGTCCTTCCACACAGGGAGGAGTACTTGTATGGAGAGAAGCCTCTGCAGGACTTTAACTGGGTCCGTCAGTGCCTGAAGAACGGGGAGGAAATCCACCTGGTTCTGGAGACTCCACCTGATCCTGATCTGGATCTGGTCCAGAAGGAGGACTGGGCGCAAGTGGACGACTGCACTGGAGTCGCAGGTAAACACTTCACCTGAGCTGTCTGATTTTATTGATCCGTGGCCAACATCCTGACCTACTCTACATTATTTCTTCACAGGAACTCATGAGCAGTTGACCATTGACGAGAAAGACCACGAGCGAGTGTTCACCATCTCCATGTGGGACTGTAACAGAAAGTTCAGGGTGAAGGTGCTGGGGATCGACATCCCATCCCTCCCCAAAGTCCCAGAGTTTATCGTCTTCATAGAGGCCAGCATCTTCCACGGGCAGCAGCTGTTAGCCCAGGTGATCCAAACAGGAGAATACACTTTGAGGCACACAAAAGAGGATTTTGACAGTGGCTGCTGTGATCTACATTAATTTAGTGCAGTTGCATTCATCAGCATTGATGCATAATTGGTAAACCAAAAAAATATACCACCAATCCTTGAATGTGCAATTAATGATAAAATACGAACTAAAACAATAGATTCTTAGACTTACTTTATTTGTCTTTGCAGGTTTACACGGTACATCAGAATGAAATTAGGTTGCATTAGGCTCAAAAAAAAAAAGAACAGAGACAGAAAGGGGAATATAATAATATATAATATCATGTTTACATCAGTATGAAAGTATAAATATAAATGTTCCAGAAATGACTGTGGTTTTGTTTTATAGCCACATGAACACCTGCTGTCACGGCAAACCTTTGCCCCCGAAAAATTAACTTTCTCCTTCACAATAAGTGGCACCTTGTATTTGGAATGTATTTATTTATTTCTGTTTAGTGGAAAATAGCTGCAGGATTGTTCAGTTTGCATCAGCAGTACCTTGCTGCCTTATCTTCTGATCTCATATCAGCAGCATGGACTCTATGTTTGAAAGTTTATGAGAAAACAACAGTTGCCTGCATATTAAAGATAGATGAAACCACCCATCAGCCATTAGTTTGTGGGTGAAGCCTCAAGTTTTGAATTTATCTGTTGCCCTCTTGGTCTTGTGAAAGCAGACATGATAAGCGAGGGGCGGATCAGACTGAGACATTATGCCCTCCCTGGAGCACACCCTGCTTTATCATCTGTTTTACTCTAAAAGGGGCGACAACTGACTGAAGGGGAAACATGCTGTATCATTTAGACGATAATATCATTAAGAAGATGTTTGTTTAGGTAAGAAATCAAGCAAGAAGTAGATTTATTGTCTCAAATTTGTATACAGTCAGACTTCTTCTTACAACCAGGAGTCGCTCTGTGTTAAAAATAATGCAGGTTACAGTCAGTTCCGTATTGGCTCTGTCTATTTTTTATATGGCGTCTGTGGTTAGTAAAGCAAACAGTGACGCTGATAGAAGAGATAATATTCAAAACAGTGGTGCTGGCTGACATGCTGTTTACTGTAAACCCAATGTGATCAGTACTCACGATGAGATATTGAAAGGTAAATATAAATAGACACATAAACAGCTGCATATTGACAGAAAAGACACTTTAACACTAAATTTGTTGTTTTAGGAGAGGACGACTTCCAAAAGTTTCAATGAAGAAGTTCTGTGGAACTGCTGGTTGGAGTTTAACATTAAAATCAAGGACCTGCCTAAAGGGGCACGCCTCAACCTCCAGGTGAGCGCAGACGTTTCACTGAAAGGTGCTGTAGTCATTGTCGCTAATATCTATATTTACATATATTTTTGGTAGGATAGTGAAGGAACTAACGAGTAAATTAAGTTAGAATTGTTGCTCTACTCTTTACATAATGGTTCATGTCTTATATGTGCCACCCAGGTGATCTGTGGGAAGCAACCTCAGACACCAAACTCCAAAGGAGGCTCCTATCAGGATAACACAGCAGGAACCGCCAGCCTGGATGGTAAAGTCCTGTCGCATCTGATCCCCTCTCATGTTGAGTGTCTACAGAGGGAGGCTTCATTCTGCCTGTCTGTCCGTCCGTCTGTCTTTCAGGAAAGACCAAGAGTCGTCTCCTGTACTACGTCAACCTGCTGCTGATCGACCACCGCTCTCTGCTGCGCCAGGGCGAGTTCATCCTCCACATGTGGAAGATGCCAGAGAAGAGCGACGAGAGCAGCAGCAGCACCAACGCAGACAAGCTCACCTCGGCCACCAACCCAGACAAGGCCTCCTCCATGGCCATCGCCATCTTACTGGACAAGTACTGCTACCCGGTGGTGCTGCCCAAGAGCCGGGACGTGAGCCGGGACTACGGCGCTGTGGGGGAGGAAGCAGAGGGAGGGGAGAGAGGTCAGAGAGAGATGCCGAACCACCTGAAGAAACAGTTTGGGGCCATTGTGGCGACGGACCCCCTCCATCCTCTCAGTCCTGAGGACAAAGAGCTGCTGTGGCACTTCAGACATGAGTGCATGCGAGACCCCAGGTACTTTCTGTTTCCTTTAAACAAACAACAAACTATTACAGGTTTGCTTTTTACTGAACATCTAATTCTCTCCTGTCCTCAGGGCCTACCCAAAGCTGCTGGGATCAGTCAGGTGGGGCAGACAGGAAGATGTTTTGGCCACACATCGTCTGTTGGAGCGCAGCAGTGCGTGGGACACCAGGTAAAAGAGTTTTCACACTGTATCTGTCCTCAGTGGGATCAGTGTCATCACCTGTCGTCATGTTGGTTCTCCTCAGTGGTCTGGATGTTGGTCTGGCCATGCAGCTGCTGGACTGCCACTATTCAGATGCTCAGGTCCGCTCAATGGCTGTCAGGAAGCTGGAGACGCTGGAGGATGACGATGTGCTCAGATATCTCCTCCAGCTCGTACAGGTGCCACTTTTCTTTTCAGTCGCTTTATGTTTCCTGTTATGCTCATCTGTTAAGTCAATGCGGCTCAGTGTAGTTCATTTTTAAAGTACTTGCACTTTGCATGAATGTTTACCTTTTCTGCTGAGATGATTCACACATTTTCACACACATGTTGAAGTTTGTGTTCTGCTGCAGTCATCCGACAGCTGTTACTTTGAAGATAAAGTAACGTACGACACCAATAATCAGCTTGCAGAATCTAATGCATTGTTTAACATAAATACACCCACAAAGTCGTTGAACTGTGACAGCAGCCGTTGTGCTTTTAGAGAAATCTGTGCATTTGTTTTCTTTCGTGCTGCAATTATTTTAGTAGCTGTGTTTTGCACCTTTCATTAGTTGAATCATCGTATAAGGAATACTTATTAAAGAGTGAAAATAAGACAAGTCATTTAAAATGAATTCACAATTAACATATAATTGGTTTACTTTTTTATTTTCAGATAAGTTATAATCTTTTATTGCCCTAATTTAATTCCCCCTATTCCTAAAAACAAGTCCAGTGCAGAGTCTGACAAGATATCAGCTCTCTGATCAAATTTAGAAAAGATTAAGAAGCAGATTGTGACAGACAGAATGACAGAATCCTCACCAATTATTTTGAGGCGAACAACTGGTAGGGAGACAAAAAAAAAAAACAACTAAACACGACACCTGTGACAAAATGTCAGACATTAGTTTGTCAGATGGTAAATTAATGAATCTGTTTGTATCACTGCTGGTAGCTGCTTTAGCTTTAGTCTGTCTGAAGGTGACATAGCCTCAAACTGTGTGTAATTTTTGTATTAGTGTAAAACTTATGGATGCTTTCTTCTGTGAAGCTGAAGCATTGACATCAGGTAATCGTAGCAGGCTAGTTTGTTGGCTGTTTTACAATAGACACGCTGGGTTTTTCTTTCCAACATGAAATGATCCCAAACTCTGGACACTCTAGTTTTCTCAGGCCTGTCTCTGCTCTTTGCCACATGCTTTTTTCCTTTTCTTTACCAATATTGCAGTCTGCACCAAACACGGTGAAGCTGTGTACGGCTGTAATGAAGCTTTGATGCCAAACATGTGCATCAATCATTTTTAGAAATTCATTTACTTGACTCGTGCCAGATTTTTCCGACTTAAAATTAGAAGATTTCTGACGTCTGTTTGCTAAACCTGACTTTACAATTAGCAGCCAGTTAGCTTAGCTTAGCACAAATAGTGGAAACAGGGGGAACAGCTAGCCTGTCTTCTTCCTCCACTGACAAATTGTCTGATGAATAGAAGCATACAGCACTACATATGACTGCAACTTTTTAGACTCCTTTTATATTAAAGCTTTGTTTTAGGGCTGAACAATTTGAGGAAAATACTAATTTCCTAACTTATGTTGCTGCTGCTATTTGATTAGCGATATAATAAGCCAAGTTTCAGTTCATTCTTCACTGTGATGGATTTAAAACGTGACAGAGAATTACCACATATTGTCCCATTCAAAGTGTGACTCACAAAAGGAAGAAGCATTAACACAGCAGTTCAAACCCTTAGTCAGACACACTGCATGCATAACATAAATTGCAGCCTTTGCAATTTGCTGATTACCTTGTTTCAGTTTCAGATTTGAAATGAGCTGTCCAACCTTAATCTGTACTGAACTCATGCTGTGACTGTTTCAAGTCATTGCTCCATCACTGCTGATTTTGATGAAGATTTATAAACGCATTTGTTTGGACGGGAAGGGAAAAAAATAATGTATTTGAGATGGCGAAACACTTCTTCCATTCATCCTCCTGATTCACTGTTACAGTATTTCACAAGCTCACGGAAAGAAGCGGCTCAGCAGATACAAGCTGTTTGTCCTCTGATGTGTTTCCATATTTGACTCTGTGGTCGGCTTTGCATGAGCAACAGCAATCATCAGCTGCAGCTAACAAAGAGCCCTTTGGTGTGATAGGAAAATGACACTTCCCTTCATGTTATCGCTGCATCATGCACGGCAACATATCCCAGCATGTTCTTCAAAGATATATCCACATAGAATGCTGCATACCCTTTCTAAAAGAATGAAAACTTGCTTTGCACATTTGTAGCACTGACTCATAGCAGGTGTTGTAATGTAGGTGTCGCTCTGTTTGTTCTATTTTTAAACGCTGGATGGACTATTTTAGGAGAACAGAGACAAAAAGCAACAAAAAGGACAGCTAAGACTTTAGGACATTGATTAGGCTAACACAATAAGTCTTTTATTTGTAAAGTACAAGTGATGGGTGAGTTTATAATAAAAATAATTAGCAGTTACATGTCCTAACTCGCAATAAAGGAGCGTTTCGATGAAGAAATAGTCTTACAGTTGGTCTAAGAGGGCTTTGTTTCCTAGAATGCTTCATCATAGGAAACGCTGTATTGTCAGATAGGATTTCTTCTCAGCCTGTCACCAAGTTTCTGACCTGTTCAACCACTCGACGCTTCCTTCCCTTCACATTTGAATTGCACTTCTGTCTGTCCTCAATGAGCTCTGTGTTGTCGGTGCACTTCCTACACTGCCACAGTCCGTGTTGTGTCCCATCACACTGTAAGCCCAGTCTGTGAAATTCTTCCTGTAAGCTTTTTTTTCCCCATGATCCGAGGCCACGGAGCAATTTCAAGTTAAATGTGGCTTTGCTGTTTGTTGGCGTGCGGTATATACGAGTATGAATCCGAAACTTTAAGATATCGTATGAGCATTGTTGGAACTTGTGGAGAATTTGTGTTTATTTGTACAGCACATGAAACCTGAAAATCAGCTTTTTATGTGTGTGTGTGTGTGTGTGTGTGTGTGTGTGTGTGCAGGCAGTCAAGTTTGAGCCCTACCATGACAGCGCTCTGGTCAGGTTCCTGCTGAAGAGAGCTCTGAGGGTAAGCAGGAAAAACATCCATGTGTCTGTTTGTACACTGTCTCTCACAACATGTGTGTGTGTGTTCCTGTTTATGTTGTTGTCGTCTATTTCAGCAACATATCATAGACATAAAAGGTTTCAGTAGCACATTTTCAACATTAAAAATTCAATTTCATAATAAGAAAAATGCTTATATGCCATATATTTCAGTGCATCATATGTAACATTTTTTGTCTTTTTTTTTTTTCTTGTTTTGTTTTCTCTCCTCAGAGTAAACGCATCGGTCATTTCCTCTTCTGGTTCCTGCGCAGTGAGATCGCCCAGTCCATGCACTACCAGCAGAGGTACGCCGTCCTGCTGGAGGCCTACCTCAGAGGCTGCGGTGAAAACATGCTGCAGGACTTCAGGAAACAGGTGACAGGCCTCATTTACACCAAGAGATAGATAGACGAAACAAAAATGCGTCAGAAATGTCCCGTTATGAGCACAATACAATCCTAAATTTCCAGATGATAAATGACAGATCTTTAGTTTGCTATATTAGACAGCATTAGAATAAGCTGCTGCCTCCGCGACCCAACTCCGGATAAGCGGGAGAAGATGGATGGATAGAATAAGCTGTAGTGGTGGAGGTGATGGGGCTACGTGTTGCTACTCAGTTTCCTCATTTTATGTACTTAGATAAGGACTAACTGACAGGTTGAATTAGTGCTGTCTTGCTATGCAGGTGCAGAGTAATCTTTTACTTGATAATTTAGGTTTTGAACCCAACTGACACACTTTGCAGGGAGGTGTAGCGTGCACAAAATGAACCAGCTTTCCAGTGATGTCAGGTCCTTTTCTATGCAGCATAGAGTTGGCTGAAAAATAATTTTGAAATGTAAATATAGTTAGAAGGCTACACACACCTCGTCGTCCATCTCCACACTCATCACACTTGTTTGACTTGCTCCCGAACTCATCGTGGAATAGATCCATCCATCATCTATACACCACTTAATCCTCACTAGGGTCATGGGGGGCTGGAGTCTATCCCAGCTGACTCAGGGTGAAAGCAGGGGACACCCTGGACAGGTCACCAGTCTATCACAGGGCTACATTAGAGACAGACAACCAAGCACACTCACATTCACACCTACAGACAATTTAGAATCACCAATTAACCTCAACATGTTTTTGGACCTTGTGGGAGGAAGCTGGAGAACCCGGAGAGAACCCACGCTGCACGGGGAGAACATGCATTCCAGGTGTCGTCACCGCGACATGAACTGGCGACCTTCTAGCTGCGAGGCAATGGTGCTAACCACCGATCCACCTTGCAGCCCCTCAAGTGGAATAGATTTGACACAAACATCACGATAAAGAGCAGCAGCAAAGCTCTGTGATTACACTTGTCACAACAGCGTTTGCCTCATTGACAGTGCCCCTGAACAAAACTATGACATTTATTTCTGTTTGGCACTAATTACATATATTTTGTGATAGTGTAAGATTCAAGACAGTCTCAATACACAAATATAAAAACATAACTTGGCTGCCTGCCTTTTATACTGTGACACACAAAACTTCATAAGACTCTTTCCTAGATAAAAAGACTGATAGAAGGAATCTCTAAATTTTATCAAAATTAAATGATCAAAGCTCTACATACTGTTCTATAAAAAACAAGATACTGCATGTATGTCTAACCCTTAAACGACAGAGACAGGAGCCTGAAAGTAAAGGCAGTGAGATGACTCTGAGAACAGCCCAGGGCTCACAGGGTTAATCCTCTATTTTTATTTCCTCTGCTCCATCCTCTCAGCAGTGTTGACCGTTGGCACAGAGCTGAATAGAGCCTTTTTTTTCCGACTATTATTCAGTGTGTGAACGTGTGCCTCCTGTTTCACCCTGTTTTACTTTCTTATTTTGCTTTTCTCTATTTTTATACCCTCTATGTAGGATGCCATGTACCAGCTTTTTTAGTATGTATACCTACACCTTTGGATACGCACCGCATGGCACACTGGTACAAGATGTGAGGCAACGGCGCTAATCTTGTGGCAGCATGGGTGGGGAAGCAGTAGGTGGGGGGGTGTTAGGAGAGGGTGGGTGCTATTTCTGGTAAATGAAAAGTAAGTAAAAAGAACTTTGAATGACGGAACTGACACTGTGCAGGTGGAGATGACTGAGGCTCTGCAGAAAGTCACCCGCGAGATCAAGGCCATATCCACCGAAAAATCTGACGTCACGCCACAAGGTGAGGAGGAGGAGTTAAAGAAAATTAAAACTAAAGCACTGATACTAACCTGTGTTGTGCAGGTTTATGCTCTTAGATTGACTGATGAGTTCTTAAATAAATCTAGATAAGGAAAATTGTAGCAGCAGCATCCTTTGCTCAATCGAAAAAGAATAAAGAACTGAAGCTGCGTTTGTGTTGTGTGCTGCTCAGTGGTGTTTCAGCTGCGCCAGAAGCTGGAGACTCTGCAAGCGTCGGGTCTGCCGGAGAGTTTTCGAGTCCCGTATGATCCAGGACTGAGAGCTGGAGCCCTGCTGGTGAGCAACACTCCCACATTCAGGCATCTAAAACATTTACAATCCAACTTCAACCACATGTAATAAACACAGAGATGAAAACAAGCAGCCTGCATAGAAGTGACGACTGACATCTCATCAGAAATTTTACTTATATGGTACAATGTGCTTCACTGGTTAGAAAATAAAGAACCTACAGAACCAGACTGGGCAGATTGAATGAGAATAAGGCCAAGGGACATGAGCACCGAGGATTTAAAAACAGTAAATTGAACAAGAGCAAATAAATATGAATGAAAAGTGTAAATACAAAATATGATGCACAGTTGTAGGAATGTTTTAAGAGGAGATTTAAAAGAAGCAGAGATTCCCATAGTGTGTATCAACTAGAGAAGGATTCCCAGGTAAAGGTCTCCTCAATGATCAAGCTGAGAATAAACAAACCATCGACATGAAAACAGGAGAATAGTAACTGTGTTTCATTGAATTTCTAAATGAATGATGTGCTCGTAGATTGAACAGTGCAAAGTGATGGCATCTAAGAAGAAGCCGCTGTGGCTGCAGTTCAAAAGGGCCGACCCCACCACTCTGTCCAAGGACCCCATAGGCATCATCTTCAAAGACGGCGATGACCTCCGACAGGACATGCTCATCCTGCAGGTGAGGAGCAGCATCATCTCCGAGACAGAAGTTGGTAAATTACTGAGGAAGATATCTGCACAGTTCCTTTTTCGTTTCCTTTTCAGATTCTGCTGATCATGGAGTCGATCTGGGAGACTGAATCGCTGGATCTCTGCCTGCTGCCGTACGGCTGCATCTCCACTGGCAACCGGATAGGTCAGTTATTAGTGTGCACTGATATGGGAACGGATAAAGCCAACCGTTTCCACCTGAGGTCCTGGTGCCGCGAACGAGGCGTATGTGTTATTAAACACGACTCGCCATCACCGTTTTCAGAAGGTCACTGAAGGTCCCACATGTAGATCTCTCTTTATAAGCTAAGACCAAAATAAATATAGAGTTGTTGTGCTTCAGGATTTTTAGAAGAGGTTCCACATCAGTGTTCCTGACTCCTTGCTGTGAGGTTATTCACTCTGATTTAAAATTTGATCATGAATAGGCCAAAACATTTTGAGAGTTTTTCAAATATCACTCTGACCAAGTGATAAGAACAGGGAGACATATTTTTAGAGGGGCTTTTTGTTTATTTAGAGCAGTAGAGATAGACAGGAAAGGGGGCAGAGACCTGCAACAAAGGGTCGTGAGTGGGAGTCGAACCCACGACCACTGCATTGGGGAACTACAGCCCCTGTTCATGGGTCACCCACTCAACTAGGTGAGCTATAGGGGAGACAAGTTCTCTCAAGCGTCTCCGATTCAGATTGCCCAAGGGGTTCATTTTAGTCCGACGATTTGGATATAGATATTTAGAGAGATGATTCCAACAACAGCCTTGCATTAATCATTTCTGCGATTCTTACTCTTTCCTTCTGCCTTCATTGTTCCATCCATGTAGGTATGATTGAGATCGTTAAGGACGCCACCACCATCGCTAACATCCAGCAGAGCGTTGTTGGAAGCACCGGAGCGTTTAAAGATGAAATCCTCTGTCAGTGGCTCCGCGACAAATGTGTCAGCGAGGACAAGGTACGATCACAACCAGATTAGCCTCGTCGGGTTCAGTGTGCACTTAATGTAGAATGAAAAAGTTGTACAATATGGGAGTGACACATTATCCAGGTCATTAGTACAAGCTGATTACAAAATAGTGATCAACAGAGCTGCTCAGTTTGTTGTTGATCATCATGTTTAAGTTCTCATGATTAAATGAGTGATAGTTAAAATATGCACACTGTGTGTCAAATCAAGCTCTGTCTAAGCTTGTAGGCAGCCTTCAGGGAGTGATGGAGATGTTTTGGCTTCGCTTTTGGAAAACCATCATGCAGTTGACAGAATAGAAGAATTACATATGTCTGGAGCAATATAAGCTTTATTTATGTTGTGCTTTACTTAACAGTGTTACAAAGTGCTTCACAAATAGATTAAAAACAACAATAATACAAGAATAAAACACTAATAAACAACAATATACCATAAATTAAAAGGAAAAACACATTAAAAGTCACACAGACATGAAAACTTTTCTGAAAAAGACTGTCCTAAGAAGTGATTTAAAAATAGTGATAGATTTCCAAAGGTGTATTTAGTAGGTGAGTTCAGTTTGGCATCAGCTCATACATGGTTTGTAGATCCTTGATGTTGGCCATGTAAGACCTTAGAAATCTTGTATTTGAACTGGTGACCCAGGAAGCACAAATCTATACGGGAAAAAATAAAAGCACTGACAGTCATGTGCAGATCATGTAAAGATAAGAAGCATCTAATTCTTGAAGTTAACTGTAGGTGATAGGAAAGCACCACCTTGTTGACCTGGACATCAAACCAAAACCAGAATCAAATGAGACAGACAGATTTGCAGCAGCTGATTTAATGCAGAGTGACAGAACTCCCAGAATGCAGAGTGTGTGACTGACAGAACTGGGTGAGGAAGAGGTGAAGGTGAGAGCTGGTCCCTAGAAACCGATAACCATCTGTCGTTGGGAAGTATTTCAGATGTTAAACAAGAACAAATCACATGCAAAGAGTTCATGAGATTTGTGTCTCTGCTGCAGATCATCACAACGGATTTGTTCAACCACCTTAAAAACACCACAAACTGCAATGAATGCATTAAGAATAAACTGCTAACGTTACCTCAGCTGAGATAACAGCAACACTCTGCAGTACATCACTGTGTCACAGGCTGAAAGTGAAAGAGAAAGCACCTCTTCTGACCTCATTCTGGTTTAAAAGGTTTGATGGATTGTATTTATATTTTGGGTTTAGGACAGGACATCAGGACATTAGGATTTTAAACAAGGGTCAGCCTGACTTTGATTTAAAGATTTGTACATTAGCAAGATTGTAGCACAACACGGAAGTCAAAGCTGTGATTTGTTTAAATGTCAAAGTGCAAAAAAAAACGTCGTCTCTCAAGTCAATGAACAATCAGGATTAAGAAATCCCCACTGATCAGTATAAAGGTTTTGACAGCAGCCACGCTACAGGCATTATGTAAACAGTGTGTGTCGATAGTGCAGCTTTGTTTTCAGCTGCAGTTGTGTGTGTCAGATAAGAGGAAACAGCAGCGTGACAGACAGGAAGGAAGCAAGCCACATGGTTGTTCCTGTCACCACAGAACTCACACACACTGCTTTTAGCTGAGACACCTGCACACACACTGTCTGATGGTTTATTTTTAACTGGCTTTTCTTCAAAACTGAGAGATGGAGAATGTGCGTTCTTCAGCATATCGTTTAGACATTTACGCAGCACCACTGCACGGTTCCCCGTGGCTGAGGATCATCTCATCTGAAGGATTTGAGTTTTCAAACCTAAATCTTCTTTTTTGCAATCAAACCTCTTCGTCGTTGGTCAGATATTTGTGACTACATGAAGTGGTTTTATTCTAACAGTCGTTCTTTGTGTGCAGTTCCAGCAGGCTGTGGAGAGGTTCCTGTATTCCTGTGGTGGATACTGCGTGGCTACTTATGTCCTGGGTATTGGAGATCGGCACAATGACAACATCATGATCACTGAATCTGGTAATACCACGTCTGTGTTTTCATCTCACTGTCAGACCAACAAACGTCAGCATAACATCATGCTGAGGACATATTACAGCCTGTAAAGTTTGCAAAAAAAAAATACTATTGATTAAGAACAATATTTTTAAAGTTCACCTCTAAGGAATAATCAATGTCATAATTTTAAAGGAAATACTCAATAATAATCCCCTTTGTGTTGCTGCAGGGAATCTCTTCCACATCGACTTCGGTCACATCCTGGGGAATTACAAGAGTTTCATGGGAATCAGTAAGGAGTGGGTTCCCTTCGTGCTCACGCCAGACTTCCTGTATGTCATGGGAACGTCAGGAAAGAAAAGCAGCCCCCACTTCCAGAAGTTCCAGGTGCACCAGATGTGTTTTTACATTTGACTTAATGCTGAATGGGTTCATCCACAGACTCAGATACATTCACACATGCACACACATCCCTGCACTGTCCTTTAAAACATACACCAGACGTCACTGAAAGGACATTTTTGCAGAAATCATTCATGATTCAACTTTTTTTTAATGCTCCAGCGATCATTAAGTTGAAACCTTATTTTTCAAAGTTAAATGAGAAAAACTAAAAGTAACAGATCGGAGAAAATGCATTACCACAGTTAGTTAAATAAAAACACGGACATTTCCTGTTTAGGGAGGATGATTTGTTAGATAAAATAATTAGAATATGAATTACAATACAGTCATATAAGTAGAACTTGTTACTAATGTTCATATTCAAAATAGTGTTATTATTATGTAATTAAGATAGAAGATAAAATAGAATGACAAACAGCACTTTTCTTTTATTATTTCTAAGCTGTCCGAAGCATACAAGTGCATCATGGTTAAGCAGGTGCTGTATTTGGTTCCAGGAGTCATTTAAAGTCGTCTTTCCAAGTTCAGATCTTACTTATGGAACATGACACAAGAACCAGTGAGTCGAGCTGCTTTGATAAAGTTCATTTCAGTACTGAAGCAGCTTTGAAACACAATCATTTTCTCGTAAGAGCTTTATAGATAAAAAGACACAACTTAGTGTCACGTCTCCTTTTGACCAGTCAACCCTGTCGTATAGAATATAACGATGTGGCCTGTAGACATGGCTGGTAATAAACCTTATTGCAGAGTGACAGACGGGCTCCAGAGGTTTAAGAGTAAAAGAAGATGCATACCTGTAAATCACATCATTATTGTCCACAATATGGGAAAGATGCTTTAATTTCTGCAAAAAACACTCACTTTTTAGAACTCTCTTGTTTAGGTGTGTGCAATTTGAATGTCAGATTCTCACTAATGTGGAGATTTTTATATCCTGTGACTTTCTCAGTTCAAACCTCTTTCATGGTAGAAATATCAAAAGCATTATGGTCGGTTTCTCTGTCTCTTGAAAATACCTTGAACTTTGTTGTGTGTGTTTGTCTGTATCATGTCCATCCTGTGTGTGTGTGTGTATCAGGACGTGTGTGTGAAGGCTTACCTCGCTCTCCGGCATCACACCAACCTGCTCATCATCCTCTTCTCCATGATGCTGATGACCGGTACGACCTCCTCCTTCACAGTACCAACACAGTCGCTGCTTTGCTCTTTTACAGCAGAACAAAATCAGTTTGTCATGAAATAATAATAACCAGGTGAACTCACCCTGTTACACCCAGCAGACGGGTTGTCGGTTCACCTGTTGGCTGCTGAATGACAAGAAGCTGTAGTTTTAGATTGAGACATTTGATTCAAAACTAGTACGTGGTCACACTTTTATCTGTCTAATGACCCTCTTCTCTTTTGGCTGTTACCAGGTATGCCTCAGCTGACTAGTAAGGAGGACATCGAGTACATCCGCGAGGCGCTGACCGTCGGTCGCAGCGAGGATGAGGCACAGCGCCACCTGCTGGACCAGATAGAGATCTGCAGGGAGAAAGGCTGGATGGTTCAGATCAACTGGTTTGTTCACCTGGTGCTGGGGATCAAGCAGGGTGTGGAGAAACGGTCCACCTAGGAGCTCTTAGGACATCAGCAAGTAAAAGAAAAGCACAGGAGTCTTACAGTAGGGTCCACAGGAGACTGTAAAATCTGATGACTGCACATAATATATATATATTAATTCCCTACACAAAGTGCCTGCAAATAAACCTGTTTTAAAAAAAATTCAGACCATTTCAACCATTACAACGTATTTATAGAAAAAAATAAGATTATAAAGGTGGACTTGGACTGTAAGTCTTATAGAAGACCAACACCATTAAACCAACCAGTTGAACAACTGGAGCTACACAGAAATGCATCGAAGATAACGAGAATCTCCCCCTTTGACCTGAACTAAAGAGACCCAGAGCTGAAAATAAACTGAACACAGACACGACTGTTATCTCTGCACTGCAAAGACCAAGTCAAACATCCACTCCAAAGCTACACAATAATATGTCTACAAGTTCTCTTTAATTTGCCTTAATGAGCAGCATTAAGACAACCACAGGTCAAAGTAACCTAGTGTCATTTTCTCCTGAACTGCAGACTGAAATGTTGCTCTCTGCTTCCACTTAAAACAATAAATGGTTAAATAAGAACCTTTTGAAAATAGAAACTATGATTATAAACCGTGTTTCCGTGAGGGATGAACTGGATCTTTACATTCTACCCTTAACACGAGGACAGACCACTTAGTGTTTCTGCTGTGAGGAAACACTCGTCTCTCACATTTCCTTCACCTGATTTGCATTTGAAAACGTGGTCGACGTCACACTGGGTTTTAAACGTTTGCTGAAGTAGCGTTGCACTGTCCTTCCACCCCCAGAGGAACTATGTGGTAAATAGTTCACAGAATATTCTTCCATATTCTCAACCTTATTGAGTAATGGATGCATTATGAAATCAGTCGGATTCTCCTGGTCGAAGATCGAAAATCGATGTAATGTCACTGAACTATTCAAGATGAGAGCTTTATTATTTATAAATTAAAGATGTTTTTTAGTTGCACTAAAGATGCAAATGTACAACTACTGTAACGGACATGACAGAGCTGCACGTCTTCATCCTACACATCAGCCTGACGGGACATTGAGCACATGCTGGTCAGTGCTGTTTTTTACTCCTCGTAGAATCACAGCACATAGAAGTGTTGTTGTTGTTTTTTCTACCGCCGAATGATTCCGAACATTTCTGATTTCACAATCAAGAATAATTATTTCACAGCTCGTTTAGCATTTCCATGTGAGCTTGTTATGTCATATAAGGTGAAATATGAGCTGAAAAGATGATCTTAGGAATGAATTGTTGAATGTGTTGAAGGTTTTGGATGAACAGAAAGAAAGTTTAATTTCCTTTACTACGGTTCATGAGTGAAGTGATATCCAAGTTGGAGACAGAAGCTATGATGAGCACCAGCAGTTTGATAATCAGTGTTTTTTAAAAGTTTGCATAAAAAAAAACGTGTTCCAAAGACGGAAACCTTCCATTTTAAAACTGTTCTGAACTGAAGCCTCGTGTGCCTGTAAATGCCTTCAGCCACTGATTCTGGACAGTGGAATGAAACTTTTCTATGTCGTGATGATTAAAGTCATGTGCTACAAACACACTTTGCTGCTTCTCTTTCACACATCAGATTCACTGATGGTTCAGATCGTGACTCCTCCGCTGTGGTTATAAACTCCGACCACAAGATGGGGCAACACCACAGACTTGTCCCTTCAATTACAGGTCACACAGCTTGACACCATCAACCAGTTCCATCCTTTCCTCTGATTTTTTTTTCTCTTAAATCCCCCCCTTGTCCTTCTTTCTCATCTCTCCTCTTCTTCCTGCTCCTCCTCATCTCCTTTCCTTTGTCTTTTTCCAACACATCCTCAGCAGAGAGTGGGTGTGCTACATGAAGGAAACATCTCTTTCATGTCGGTGTGTTTCATGGCAGCACACTGCAGTATACATTCTGATGTAGCGGCTTTAAATGGATTAGACAGATAAGCCTCCTCTTTTCCCTCAGCTTTAAGACCTCTTTCTATATGACGCTAATTGGAAGCTCATGAACTGTATGGAAGCTTGGCAACAATGGCACGCGATGAATAAAGTGAAAAGGATGGCAGAGCCTTTCTTCCCCTTGTTCTCTTTTGCTCTTCAGCATCTGGAGATGAATTTATGTTTTTTTTATTTATGTATGATGATGCCTCATGTAGCCGCTAGAAAACAAAGACAGTAGCTTTATTCTGAAAATGGGCACTAGTTCACTTTAATGGCTGCTTTTAAACTGGCTACTAATGACCTGTTGGATGCTTTAGTTCAACAGAATTATCAAAAGTTTTGCACCACTGGTGTTAACGGTATAGTGATGTTCCGGAAGCCTCCTTTAAAGTGAACTCAAGTGTGTGGAATATGTGACACAGTGGGCACATTGAATGTACAAACCGAGCTACGTTTTCAGTGTCATCCCACAGAATTTTATTTATATTAAGAGAGGGAAGCCTCTAAAAATATCGTTTGGAACATTATGTGATGGTTCTTCAGTGTGTCTCTTTACTGACAGTGAAGCTGAGAACAACTCTTACATGTTTTGACTTATCTAATTACAGATTTGCCCTCATAATTTAGGACAAACCTAAAAACCCAGCTGTTTCCAAGTGGTTTTTGCAGGACGTACTTGTGTTTTAGCCGCTGACTGATTTTCAGGAAGCGTTAGTTTTTTCCAGAACAGACGTGCGCTGTAGCTTTTACGGAATAACTCCCTCAGCTGTGACAGGGCTGTGAGGCTGGTGTGGGAGGGAACTGGAAGAAACTGGAGTGAACTGGAGCGTCTAGAATCGATTCCCTCCCTTCCTCTATTATCTCCTGTTCCTCTCCACGAAGACATGAACCAGATCAGACGACGGGGGAGATGACTGTGTGTGTGCCACTGTAGTACATCCTCCTCTGCTTCTGTCTTTGTGAGGAGCAATGTGAGTGTGTGCAGCTTCAGGGTGAGGACCGTTTGACCTGACCTCACTTTTAGCGAGGCGTTATTTTAGGGTTTCGGACCTGGTTTGAGGTTAATTAGCGTATGGAGCTGTGGGTTTATAGTTGCTGCGTGGAGCTGAAGGTGAAGGGCCAAGTGCTGAAAGACATGTGCATGCATGTGATCTGTGCATGCACGTGTGCACATATCAGGATATGAACTTGTATGTAAATGTAAACGCGGCTCTGGGTGCATGTATGTGATTGTGACGTGTGGGTGTGATTCACTCTGTTTATGGTGGGTGTCTTTAAGTGGCTTAAAGAGCGTAAATACAGATTTAAAGCTCTGAATTCACAGTGAGTGTCAGAGATGTGCTCGCTAGCTGTGAAAGATGTCTCCATTCATGCATTTTACTTTTCATCTTTTTTTTTTTTTGCGACCGGAACATACATTTTTAAAATTAGAATGGAATTAGCATATTGTAAAAACAATATACGAGCTTGAAACCGAGCCAGTTCTAGTATGGCTACTTTTTATAGTGCTGCTTCATGGAGTTACTACCAGAACAAGTAAGCATATCTCCTGAGTGCTTCTTAGTTTATGGTTGGCTTTCATTAGCTGGAATGTAAAGCAAATTTTTCACCTTATTCACGAAAGTCTATCTTCTGGAATATCACAAAGGAAAAGAGCAATTTTTTTCCACTCAAGTTGAAACTTTTTCTAACTCCCATGGATGTTTCTTTGTCTCAGTTTGGGCTGCTTAACCCCTTAACTTTACACATGAAAAACCATATCCGAATTTAGTCAGTAACAGCTGCAGAACCAGCCCAGGGCTCTGTGGATAAGAGATACTTGGGAGAATTTTGAAACACAAGAAGTTCTCTTTATCCCTATCACCAGGCCAGAGTGGGGGTTGAAAATTCACTGCGGCTCGAGTAAATTTGATGCAAGAGAAATGAAGCATCACGATGCTGCGTACAAGAGGGATGAAGTGAATTTGTATCCGCTGTGTGTCTTGTGTGCAGTCTGGAGTGCTGCTGCCTTCAAAATTTGCTTTGCATTCAATCTGAACACAAGTTAAAGGAGAAGCATCACATTTATGCAACGATCATTTCTGAGTTACCATCAGTGGT